AAGGGTCTAGGCCCGAAACGTCAGCCTCTCTGCTCCTATGATGCTGCTTGGCCTGCTGTGTTCATCCAGCCCTGCACCTTGTTGTCTTGGATTCTCCAGCATCTGCAGTTCCTACTATCTCTGAAGAACTGCATTGTGGGTTTGGAAACAGCAAGGCAGGATGGGGGTTTGGTCACGACACAGACTTGCCAAAGTCTGAAAAGTGATTTTTAAACAATGCTGAAGCTCTGGTGGAATTGAGGTAACATTGTTTGTGTGACCATAAAAAATGATTCCTTCATTCCAGAAGTTGAGATTGACAACGTTCTTTGAGATAAGAATCCAAACAATTGTCTTTGTTGATTCAGATATAGCCCTGGAATTGAGACCCAGACAGTACAACTTCGAACAGACTGTAATATAACTAAAAATTAATTAAACAGGCCAGAGACAAATATTACATTATATGGTGCACTGTCATATTACGAAAATGGTATAAAGAAAGACTTTGAAAATGACTCACCACTACAGCGGGTAGAACAGTTTGATAAGTTGCTCCAAAGATGTGTTGGGAGATCTGTCAACAGATTCATCATCTGAATGAGACCCTTGCTTGCGGGACTTCTAAGTAACCAGTATCATTGTAAGTATGTGCTGTTCCTTAGAATTTAATAAAGGCGTATCACATTTAGTATGATTGATATCCTGACCAGTACCTTTAGACCAAATAAGTAGTCCTAATATAATTCAGTTCTGTGAGAATCAGGAACTTTATTGTTGCCTTGTCGAAGTGATCAATCTTTGTGGATGGGCTCAGGTAGTGAGTGTTAGCAGATGGTTTAACCACAAGAAGATGTGACAGCTGAATCTGATCTTGTCCTTCCTTGACAGTAATGCTTTTTCCAACAGGAGTCACTTGGGAAGGTAGACTCAGACTGATTTTCCCCTTTTTCTTTGAAGGCTAGGGAAGGAAGGAAAGTAAGTAACATCGCATCTGAGATCAGCTCACTCAGCATATGTTACTGATTGGGACTGTCTAGCTATTTTCTAATCAACCTGTTCAGTAATGTTATTGCTCACCTCTGGAGCAGATAGGAATAGAAGCCAAGCCTCTTGCCTGAGAGGTAGGGACACTACAACTGCAACACAAGAACCCTCTTGGACCAGTCTGTCTTTTTTTATTAGTCCATTTTTCTAATCAACCTGTTCAGTGATGTTCTTACTCACCTCTGGAGCAGGTGGGATTTGAACCTGGGTCTCATGGTCCAGGGGTAAGGACACTAAATTGTGCTACAACAACCCTTCTTGGACCTGCCTGCAACTGTATGCATTAATGCTGACAGCTGCACAAGATTTTATTTCTAACAAGCAGGCCATTAGGGAAGCTGCTTTATGGTCACTTTTATAAGTCAGTTTTATCTGTTTGTTTTTCAGTTGCTTCTCCTGTTACCCATGGCAAACATAGCAGAAAATGGTGAAAGGCAGTTTGTGATCAGCTCTGCTGAAGATGACTCCTGTGTATCTTGTCACAGCTGCAGTAGCAGTATGGTGAAATATACTGACGAATTCTTTACATCCTATACTGATGGAAATGAGACTGGTCAATCGTACAGTCAATCATTTGAGTCTTATCCTTTTGATGAGGAATTTGAAACAACAACAGAATCAGAAGTGACTACAATCAAATCTGAAATGGAATCTCTGTCGCCTCCAAATATCAAACAAGGTAAGATCAAATAATGGATTGTTTCTTAAAATAAGTTTCTGGGCTACCTAATTTGGTGACTGGATGCTTTTTCTTTCTGATTTTATCCCCATTTCTTGACCAGCGAGTCATGCAGAGGTAAAAAAGAAAGGTAAGAACAGGAGTGAACCTTTCAACTCTGAGCCTGTCCCACGGTTCCCTAAGATCATGACTGACCAGTAAATAAATTCTTTTCTCGTGTTTGTCCCATGTCTCTTATGTTTACTTAATAAAAATCTCGGTTTTATATTTATCTATTTATATTAAATTATATTTATAACAAATTTTATATTTACATTAAATTGATCTAATGTTTGTAGAAAAGAATTCCAATTTTTTCCCTCCTTTGTATGAAGAAATGTTGCCTAATTTCACTTCTGAAAGATCTGGCTCCAGTTTTTAGTGTTATGCATGAAGTTGAAGGAATGTACAGTCACCCCCTAGTCCCACAACTTCACTAGTCGCAACATAAATTTAAATGTTTTACCATTTACTGGTAAATAGTTTGTCTCTGTTTGGTTTTGATTAAAGAGATCTATCAACCGGATTTCTTTAATAAACAACAAAATTGACATTTTTATAAACTGAGTATTCACTAAAAATGCAAAGTGGATCAACACAGTTTCAAGTAGGAAAGTATGAATACTTTCCAGTGACTCAAAACGTTGACTGTGGTTTCAGCCCATAGATGCTGCCTGACTTGCTCAGTTCATCCAGCAATTTCTGGTTTTCTTTCAGACCTCCAGCATCAGTTCTTTGTTTTATTTTTATTATATAAATAGTCACCCTTCTAAATAATCCCTGAGCAAACACATACGCAATAATTAAAATAAAAAATAGAACTTTTTCTGCAGAGATCAATTTTGAAAAGAATACTTTGGCCAAATAATGGTTAGTTCTTGAAGAAAAAAAGAACAAGGTATGAAATGTTCAAGGTGTCTTTTAGTCCATGTCCTGACATTATTGAACACAGGCAATTGTCGCTGGAACCTTTGCAAATGAGTTTGCTCAGGGATCACCAAGTATAACTGTTTTGGAGGCTCTTCAGGAAAGCAGCTAGATCAGTGTTTGAGTTATCACACTGTACCATTGGCAAATGTGAATATGTGTCTTTCTATCCCATCATCTATCTCATTAATAAATACAGTGAATAATTTGAGTACCTCTGGTCACAGTCTGTCAATTACATTACCTGCCGATTATCCTAACTTTGTACCTCCTACTTCTTAGCCAATTTCCTAACAACGTTAATAATTTATTTTCAGTCCCTTAAGCTTCAACTTAAGCCAATGGTGTCTTATCAGAGACTTCAACGTCAACTGCTCCTCCTGGTACTGTTATGGAATCAGACAAGTAAATTGACCACGACCAATGTTTCAGCCAATCCACCATTCACAAGGCAAGAGTCAGAAGTGTGATGGACCCCATGTGCCTGCATGATTGTAGCTGTAACAACACTCAACAAACCTGATACCAGCCAAGCCAAAGAGGCCTGCTATATTGGCACTGAATCCACAAACATTATCTCCCTTCATCACTGACACACAGCGATAGCAATGTATAACATCAGAAGAAGCTTGGCAGAAATTCACCCAGATTTCTTTGACAGAACTTTTCATTCGCATGACTGCTTGAATAACAAGGGCAACGTAGCACATGACGACATCATCTGAAAGTTCCTTTCCAAACCACTCATTGGAAATCCTTTCCTTCACTGTTGCTAGGTCAAAATCCTGGAATTCCTTCCCTAAAAACTGTGGATGTACCTACGCCAAATGGACTTTTGTGGTTCAGGAAGGTATCTCATACAAACCTTCTCAAGGTATACCTGATACATAGGTATCAGATCATTAAATTTGCCACAGATTTGTGACTAGGGTTTTTGAAACACATTGGGCTCAATGCCAGCTACATTCAGTTCAGCCCAGTTTTACAGAGGGAGAGTCAAAGAGTCAGGTTACTAACTTGAATAAGCAAGCAGCCTAATGCCTACGTCAGCATGAACTGTAAGGTCAGTCATTTTGTCAGCATCAATATGGTGGCAGTCTACTTTGCAGTTATTGATGTACATGATCTTAACTGCACAACGTATTGGAAGATTAGCAAGCCTGTAGATGTCTGAAAAGCAGATGTTATATGGGCAAATTTCTAGGTCCAAGTGTTTAATTCAAATACTAATGTATCTTACTCTAGTGAGCACAAACTGTCTTAAGACATGGAAAAAGGATATTTCTTTGTCTGAGATTTCTCTACTGAATTAAACATGATGATATCCAGAATATTTACATGCTAATATGTTCCGGGTGTCCTTCACCTTGTCTTCACTCATGAACCTTTTTGAGTTCAAGCTTTCAGACTTATAATAAAATCTGTTATTCGCTGTCACCCCAAAATGTGTCTATTTCACCATCAAATTATCAATCATTGCAATAGCCGGTTGACCTTACCTTGAACTCCTTCCCTGCAGACTGTGATAAAATTTAACCATTTGAGCAGCCTTAATATAATATCCACAAAGCTGTAGGTGGAATTTTAAAGGAGCCTGAATAACATGGACTACGGTGAAATTTGTGACAGAGTCAGGTGAGAAATTTGGCTAGGCCTATCTTGACATCAGGAGCAACTCTCTGCACCTCTTGTGCATCTGCCAAGTGGCAAAGTGAGTTTCTGACTAGGTAATAGAAGGAGACACCCTATCTCTGCATTACACCTTCGACCAGAGCCTCCAGGTCTCTGTCAGAGAGTTGTGGCACCATCTTTCTCTTCTCTGAAATCTGTAGACAAATGTCCATCACTGAGCAGGGCAGCTTTTGAAGACCAGTGATGATTTGGGTGTAAATTGGCTCTTTAAACATGGCACAGGCGATGCTGGTCTTTTGGTAGATAACCACTGAGTTGTTCCTGGAATGGCATGTGAGAAGACTCAGTAGATTCGGATGAGAGAGACATCATGGGGTGAGGTAGGTCATTTAGTGAGTCAAGTTTGGTATGATATGGTACAAATTCTTCCTAAACCTTGAGGAGGATGACCCTCGATGGATGAGAAACCTTTGTATAAGGTTAGGTTGATGAAGCAGGGATTGTTATTTTTGGAGCAAATGAGGTTGAGGGCAATTTGATAGGGGTGTTCAAGATTAGTATGCATTTAGGTAAGATGGACAAAAATGCTGAAACAAAAATAATTGGGGAACACAGATTTTAGGCTCTGGCAAAAGGTGTAAGGGAATGTTAGGAAGAATGTTTTTCGGACAGCCAGTGATGATGACCTGGAATTTGTTGTTTTTGAAAGTTGAGGTGTGATGGTAATAGACTTCAAATTGGATGGGTGTTTGTGCAAACTAAATTTGTACTGCTGAGGGGATGGAGTAGGAAAACGGAGCTGGTTGGTTGCTGCACAGAGAACTGGCATCGACACAAAGGGTTAAATCGCATTCCGTGCTATGAAGACTATGACTTTATGAAAAAGCAACAGTACATTTCAGTGGGACCATGTAATTATTAAGCTACTTTTAATGAGATGGACAATCCCAGAATAACGTTTTGTCTAGTTTTCTTTTGCTGGGTAACTGTTTGTTATTTTGCAATTAGCAAACTAAATCAAATTTACTTATGATTTGCTTGGTTTGCATGTTGTGATAATTGTGCACAATTAAACAGAGAGCCAGCAGAATTCAGGAGGGATTATATTGAGGTTGAAGGAGTGCACTGTTTCTCTCTCACAACTTCATTGGTCACAACATAAATTTAAATGCTTTACTGAGTTATCAGTATAACCAGTTATATACTCTGGCCTAGAAATTTCAATCACAGCCAGAAACTTTTTTTCCTGATCCTGGATCAGACAAAGAAAGTAAACAGGTACATTTAGATTACTTCTTCTCTAGAGATCCCTGCACAGGAGCCTCCTGTTACCAAATACAAGAGACCTGTCCAGGAATTCTCACAGCCAGCAGGGAAGAGGATCATTATTGAAGCCACATCCCTTTCCACAGCAGTAAGTATGCATTGGTCTGTGATAGGCTCATAAAGCCCCACAGAAGGGGCCCTATATACATTAATCCCATTTTCCACACTTGGGCCATAGCCTTGAATGTTATGTCATTTCAAGTGCTCATCTAAGTATTTTTTTTGAAGGTTGTGAGCTATTCTGCCACTACCCTCTGGGTGCAAAAAAAAAGTTTTCCTTAAATTCTCTGAAAACCTCCTGCCTTTCACGTTTAAAATTATACCTCCTCATTATTGACCCTTCGACTAAGGGGTACAGCTGCTGTCTATCTGCTCTGCCCATGCCCCTCATAATTTTACACACCTCAATCAGGCCCCCTCTTAACCTTCACTACTCTGAAGAAAGTAACCCAAGTCTATCCAGCCTCTCTCACAGTTAAAATGCTCCATTATTACTAACATCCTGGTGAATGTCCTCTGCACCCACTCCAGTCAAATCACATCCTTCCTGTAGCATGGCAACCTGAACTCCACACAGTACTCCAGCTTTGGCCTAACCATTGTTTTGTATAGCGGCTCAACCAGCTACTTTGACAGTTCCTACGAAAGAGCAAGTTTGTAAGGTAGGAGTGGGTATAGAATGTCAGGTGTCTGGGCTTAAGACACAGAATTTATAAGCAGAAGGTAGCAACTATAAAACTGGCTACCTCTTGTTGAATCTTTAATCAGTTAAGCAGGAGACTACTGAGTAAAATGTGAAATCCAGATTTCTTTCAAGACATTGTCCTGAGATAATTAAAGGTTTTATCAATGTACATAAAAGGTGACATCTCAGGTCAGTCAATGCATTTTAGCTGTGAGGTTTTGCTTAGAATCTGTCTATGTTTTAAACTGAAGTCAGTTTTCTGCAAATACACAAACATCTTGGGTAAATAATTCATGTGTATGTGCGTGCGTGCGTGCGTGTGTGTGAGAGAGAGAGAGAGAGAAAGAGATGTCACCTCTTGTGTTGGGTCTGGCAAGTGGAAGGACAGTGT